TATATATGTGTATAAGAGACACATATATATATATATATATATATATATATATAACCATAAAAGAAACACACCCATATAGCAAGCAGAAACCCAATACTGAATCATTTCTCAATATATATTGAATGTTACATGACAGTTGTTTAAATACAGTACCATGTTTTTATTTCAAAGAAAGGAGGAAGCGTATTAGCTTTCAAAGAGAGGGGGATGTCGTATGTACATATAGATATCCACTATAGCGCCACCTGTTGGTCACTGCCCGTACGACATGTTGAACCGAATAAACATGGACATGCATGTCAAGGTTACCAATTGAGTAAGCCTGGACATTGTTCATTGTACGTCCATTAATATGTCAGGAATAGGAACATATAATAATGAGAGGTATTATGATTGTATAAAAGTTGTTTGTTATTGTTTCTTTTGTTATCATCATCATCACTATCATCGAATTGTTTCCCAGTATTTTATATGAGATGCATGAAGTTAGCAACTTCAAAGTAGGCCTACTGTATTTAAATTATCTTTACACGTAATTCGCCACCATTATCACGGGGCCTATCATCATCTGGTAATGATGATGTCATATTATCATCATGATCATAATCATCATCAGCATCATCATTGTCATTCACCACTACCATCTTGACCGTCATTCATTCATCGTCATCACCATCATAATAATCATCATCTTCATTACCATTATTAATTTAATATTAGGACATACTATATATTTGTTAATATAAAGTCGATATATATGTAGGCCTAATAGATGGTAATAAGCATAATAATAATGCCCAATAATAATAATAATGAAAAAAAATCATGTTATTATTATTACTGTATTATTATTATTAGTAGAAGGAACAGTAGCAGCAGGCCCATAGCCAGGTTATTTCAAGGGGGTTCTCTGGGCGTGGGGTCCAGGGGCATGCCTAAGTGCCACGGTGGGCCAGAGCAGTTTTTGTGTTTAATGCGTCTATATTTTAAAAGCAGTTATGTTTTGAAAAAGATCTATGTAATAAAAAGGTGGTAATATAATAAAATTATAAAATATTTTCTGAGAATTGCCATGTTTAAATAACACCGAAAGATATAAAAAATAAACCCTCATCGCATAATCAATATCAATATACTCAACACATGTATTATTATAAAACAAAAAAACAAAAAAACAAAAACAAAAAAACAAAAACAAAAAACGATTCTTCTTCTTCCTCCTCTTCCTCTTCTTCTTCTACTACCGGTACTTCTTCTTGACTCTCATTTTGTACACTGAAAATAATAGTACTATTTTACTACGTGGCTAAAAAAAGCACAAATATTGTCATTACTACTGACAGGGCCATCGTTAAATTAAGTCAGAGCCCAAAATATAGCATCATATTCAATACGTTATCTGACATCATGAGAACCTAAACTTTAATACAATTATTTGTTACCGTATACACTAAGCCTAATTCGAAATTATTATTTTAAGACTTTAACATAATAGGCTACATACTGATTAATAATAGCTGAGATTTGATGCACATTTTAGAATTAATAATCGTTTTTATCATATCTTCCTGAATATTTATTGTCTGCCAAATTAATGAAATATGAATTATATGCATCTTTAGAAATACAATTTCTACAATATTAATCTTGTTTTTATATAGATAAATGTTCGATAAATTCTATCTTTCATAAAAAAAAAACAAAAAAAAAAAAACGAAGTTCAGCGTCTCTATTTTCATTCTAATCAATGGCGTTTGTAAACGTGCACTGACGTCATCGTCGAATTCCAGGACTTTCGACAGTAAAGCTGGCCTGCCTGCCCCGGTCCCAGGCCAACCAATAATAATTAACAAAATGTGTTTTTTTTTAATATAGGCATATGGCGCATTTTGTACATGCACTTCAACTTTTACAACAAAAGCCTAGGCCTAGTACCTGTAGTACGTCCTACTGCTGTACTTAGGCCTACACTGGTTTGTTGTCGTCAGGGTATACAGTAATTCTGTCTCTAAATGAACGAGGAGCGAACATAGCTAGTCAACATCTAGGCTAGGCTACTTGATTTTGAAATCAATAACCCACCTTGAAGGACTATTTGTCGTTTTCTTCTTTGCAACAGCGGACGAAAAAAAGTCAGTTATTCTAGGACATTTCATGATTCTTGATCACTCAAAATTAACAAACACTCGATTTTACGCACTCCGTTCTGTAGCGTGTCTGCTGTTGAAAACAAACTTCCTAGCCTAATTTTGTGACTGGCTATGATGACTGAGATGGACCATGTTGATTTATTAATATTTTGTTTGGAATGGAAAAAAGAAGAGTCAATTTACCCAAAATGCTCCAACAGCACATAGTTTAGTGTGCGCTTTGGACAGTATGGCTATGGAATTTACTAACCACACAATTCACAATCACGTGATTAAGTCGCAAAACTTTATATGCATTTGGTGGATTAAGTCGCAAAACTTTAGCTTCGTTTGGTGGCACCATTTACTCTAGGTAGACGGCGACCGGTTTCGTTAACGGTTGGTACATTTCTTACAAACATTCAGCCAAAGGCCAGTGAA